ATTGTCTATAATTTTATTTTTATGAGTCAACTTTTTAAGTATATAAGTGAGTGTAAAAGTGCATAAGTATAAGTATATAAGTGTGTATATCAAATATAATAATATAATAAAATAAATAGCATATATAACATAGACAACTTAGATATATGTTATGGTAACGTTAACAAGGTTAACTCATTTTAACATTGGTAATATGGTAACACTAAACTTAATCACTATCCGATAATGATTCACTGGAATTTGAATCATTGCTACTTTATGAAAAACTTGATGAATTGGGCGATGTTGGACGTCAATGACGTTTTCTTTGTTTTTCTTCTTCTTCTGCAAAACATTTTTAACATCATTATTATTAAGGTGTTTTTAATTTTTTATTAGTAACTTTTAAAATATATTGTTTTCTAATTTTTTGTATTTATTTATTGAAATACTTTGTTTTAAAAAATCTAGACTGTTAAGATCTAGTATGTTAATTAAAAATGTTTATTATTTTTTATAATCATCTATGCTAACAATAAATGTTTAAAAATATTAAAATTTTTTATTTAATTCAATATCTTATATTTTACATGTAAACACAACTATATTACAAATTATTTTTTTAAGTATCTTTTTACTGTTAAAGAGTTCTTTAACTGTGTATAAAGTAATGAGAAAAATATCAATTATTAAAAGAAAAAGTACTATACTTTAAAGATTAATTCCATTAAGTTACTTGTTTTTATAAATTTTTATGAATATATCAATCTATAAACACATATTTTCCATTAAAAAATACAAAAAAATATTACCTTTAAACATATAAAAATTATTTGTCTATTGTTGTTTAAAAAGTATTGACAAACACAGCAGGTATGACGAGAATTCTTGAGTACGTGAGCGATAGAAAGAAAGTTCCTTTTAAGAAAATTTCGTCTTTATTGTATGTAATTCTTTCTAAAAATATGCCAACGTAAAACAAATTGATATGAACTAAAGAGTTTTTACGTGAATATAAACAAACAAATCAGTAATCAGTCCTAAAAATAGAATAAAGAATAAACTAAAAAGAGTCAGATCTTACAGGACGGAATCAAAGTATCTAAATTACTGACTGAGAATGAGAGTCCGAAACGTATTTGAATGTAATGCTGCTGACGAAAAAAAGAAAGATAGAAAAATGAAAAAGGGGGCCCTCTGGATGAATGTCTATCAGATCGGTTCTTGGGCTAGAATTTTAGGCCAGAGCCACAAGAACAAAATGCAGATCTCAGATCTGAAAACGAGAATGAACCTAGCAGAGGCCCTTGTACTTTGACGACCAATGTCGATCTTCAATATGGCGTCTTAAGATTCGGAATCTATCAATATTCCCTAACCTAACCTAACCTAACCTATCAAAGGCCCCGCTCATGGGATTAGATCTCTCGCCTCGATCTTCCCTCACGGACGCTAGTCGTTGCAGCTCTCCTTTTCCTGCTCATGAGTCCACTCCTTGGTCATCTGAATCTTGCTCGGTCAGAGTCCAAAACCTTTGCAATTGTCAAGATGAATCCGAAAGAAGGGCAGAGAATCGACTCGTCCGAAAGATCGCTAATTAATATACAGTATTGATTTTTTATTTAGAACCACTTATTTTGC